AGTCTTAGAACACAACATCACAAACAACTTGCTTATTAATATGGAGGCAAGAGAGATTAACTGAAGGAGTAACTGAGCTCACATTAGGATTATTGAACAGAGAATTTGAGGTGGTAACATTATCTAAGCAAAAATGGATATAAATGCAGGAGGAATAAAAAGTCAATCAAAAGTAAAGAATATGGCCCTGAGGCTTTGAAGATATTGCTGATCTAAAAAGCAGACTCCATAAAACACACCCCATTTGGGAGTATTTTAATGATACTACTATGCTCATCAGTAAGATAACGAAACACCTGCTATGATCATGGTTCAATATTAAATGAAAATTAACCTGAAATAAACTTATTAAATAAGTATTATATATGGTATCAACTTCTTATTATAAAAGCTTTATCTTAGTACATAGGAATAGCTACATTGGTTACATAAGGCAGCAAGACACCATTTATTAGGAATTATGATATATTAAGTTTTCTTAGTTACTAATTTACATCACAATGCAAATAGGAATGTAGGTTATTTAAATAAAACCCACCCTGCTTACAAATTCAAAATTACTGTATCCTATAAAAGTACTTTACATCATGTAAACTTAAGTATTACTTCAATAACCTTTAACAAATTATTGCTTTTTTAAAATTTTATTTGCTGCTATTGCCATTAGTGGCTTTAGATAGTTAACATATACATATATTGTATAATTCATATACAATAGTAATTACCAAAACCTAAGTAACAAAACTATTTTTTTAAAAAAAAAACTTCATAAGAATTTTTTAAAACATAAAGTTTTAAGCCAATTGAGTGCTAGCTTCAAACTCCAGCACCAAACTCCACCCATGGGGGAAAAATAATTTTTAGCTGCTGCTGTTAAGCAGATGTGTAGTGCCCACTGAACATCTAAATGTTAGGACAGATCACACAGATGTAGACATTCTTGCAAAATAAGGCCCAAATTACAGAAGTCTTCCCACATCATAAGAAGTGAAAACTTGAACTGTGGCTGGAAACTATCAGTAACCAGTGCAACCAATCCAGGGATGTGACATCTTACAGAAGCACTATTCACCATTTAAACTATTACATTTTAATAGTACATTGGGTACTATCAGAATACTAATGGCACTTAACATGAAATCCATGCATGATTCTTCACATTTCCTAAATAATAATGCCCCTCACAGAATAATTCTCAAAGGGCCAAGCAAAACTTTCCATTATCCAAATCAACACTAAAAGCAGTGCCATGTCTATTTTCCTCAAGCAACTAGAAAAAATACTATAATAAATAGAATAAAAAACCATTTAAGAAATCTAAGATGACAACCAAGTCATACTTCCCTTAGATCTTTCTTAGTACGGATCATCCACCACACAATCAAGCTATTTAGAACAGAGTCTAAATCTAGACTGAATTTCTGGAGTTCCTGGAGAACAGAATTAGTGCTTTTTTCCACCAGCTTGGCTAAATAAGGATTACCAGATGTTTGCTTATGTTCATATTCTAGAATGGATTCTAAGAACTCAAGCCTTGGGCTAAGGTTATGGGTCAACTCAATTATTGCCCAATTATTAACATTTCTTTCCACCTGTCTATTGCAAGAACACTGGACTGCATTCTATCAGCCCCTATGCATAATAAGACTAACCTAACAATATCAACAGTGGGTTCATCCATTTATCCTATTGTTTGTTTGTTTGCCTGTATCCTGCCTTTGTTATTTTTACGAATAATTTAAGGCAACAAACATACCCAAAACATCTTCTTCCTCCTATTCTCCCTCAACAACAACCCTGTGAAGTGAGTTGGGCTAAGAGAGAACGACTGGCCTAAAGTCACCCAGCTGGCTTTCATGGCTAAGGTGGGACTAGAACTCATGGTCTCACGATTTCTAGCCTGGCGTCTTAACCACTAGACCAAATTTTAATTTTCAGGGGAATGTCAACCTAACAGAAGACATTCCATCAGACTGACATTTCTACTGGAGAAGCTGCTGTGTGTAGATCATGACCTGTGTTTGAGTACCTGCGTTTCCAATAGTTGCAAGCACTTACTCTTAAACGGAATGGAGTCAACAAGCAAAGTGGAGTCACTGCAATGTACTCACAGCTCCAATTACTATGTAACAAGGAAACCAAAGAGATTAATTTGTCTAATTATTCATAATGGTTGTCATGTACAAAACCTCAGTCTACTAATAAGATCGCGCAAGGCTCAACAGCCCATCAATCCCACAACTTGAGATCAAATATTGCAAACAATGCCCCACTAGCAAACAGATACAGGAAGCAAAAAGCATGGGAACCAGAAGCAGGAAACTGTTCTTAAGGGGCATGGGATTAATTTATTCATTGGGTTAGAAGGCCATCCAACTCCACAAGACTCTGAAATTACTACTCCCCCCCCCTTAAGAGTAGCAGCAACAGGTGAATATCATCACTTTCATATAAGGGCAACAATTTTACTAAGTTTGATCCAGGCAAACAATAAGAGGCACACTGCTAAAGTAGAAGAATTCATATCAACGGGGCTATAGGGATGATCTCTTGTTTCCTTACAATCTTATGAACCTCAGGGGTCACCTAGACCAGAAGTCTCCAACCTTGGCAACTTTAAGCCTGGAGGACTTCAACTCTCAGGATTCCCCAGCCAGCAAAGCAAAGCTGGCTAGGGAATTCTGGGAGTTGAAGTCCACCAGGCATAAAGTTGCCAAGGTTGGAGACCCCTGACCTAAACCAACCTCCTGCATTGTCTGTTCTACTGGTTGAAAGCTTATACTGTACATTCAGGAAACTCTTGCAGTGCTTAACCCACTGGTCCTGATCCTGCCCCCTCAAGGGACAGAGAATATCTACTTCCTCTTCTACATGAGAACTTTTCAGATATCCAGAGACTACTCTACACAAGCCCCCCTAAACTTCTCTGCTGCAGGCTAAATATACCTAGTCAGCTTGGTGTAGTGTTTAAGGTGCAGATCTAGAAATCAGGAGCTCATCCCCCACCTTAGGCATGAAAGCCAATTGGGTGACTTTGGGCAATTCATTCTCTCAGGCTAACCCACCTCACAGGGTTGTTGTTATAGGGAAAACAGGAGGAGAAAGAAGAAAATCAGGATAGGATAAAAATCTTATAAGATCATTTAATAATTTCTCATAAGGCTGGGTTACCAATTATCTCACCACCTTGGAACTCCTGTGAATTCACTCACTTCTCTCCTTTTTGGTGTTCAGAACTAGACACATTATTCCAAATGGTGTCTCACCAGGACAAAGGAAAGTTAATTCACTTAATTACTATTTAGTTTGCTCTTTCTTGGTAGCAAAGCAAACTGTTGAATGAGAACAAGGAATCTATTGTTTTCTCCCTTAAATTATTGTTTGTTGTTAATATCAGAATATCTAAATATATGTTTACTTGAAAACAAATCCACTGATTTTGATGAAACATCAATTTAGGAGTGGACTGTAAATCAATTTCTCAAATTAAAATAGGAACAAAGTAAAGGTCAAATCTGAATGCAGACCATACAAAGACTGTATCTTTTGGTTCATTAAATAAATCAATCAAAAATCACAGCTCTAATAGAACAGGTAAATTGATCAAATTCAGAAAATAATTAAGTAAAAGCTACTGTACAACATGTTAGAAATTTACATGCATTATTTCCCAATTCTCATTGAAAATGGAACTCTGAAAATTTCACTAATTAACAATATAGTATAATACATATTTACTTATAAGTCCCAGTGCACTTATTATATGTTATGCCTAAATAAGTCTGCACAAACTGCAGCCATATCTGGAGATTTTAGTGAATGCATAAGCATTATCTTAAATTTTTAAAGAATATCTGCTTTACTTTTTTATCTGTATTATCTTTACAGGCTATTTTACCCAACAAATTATTTTCACAATTTTTAAACAATGATTTGCAAGTGGCAAGGACAGAAAAATACTCATAACTACTGTATTCCACCACTTTAACATTACCACAAAGTATCATTACCACAAAGCAACTACTTTTTTAATAATCATTAGGATTTAAAGCCTTAAACTTAACGCAAGCTTCTAAGAAATCCATATGATGCTAGATACCCAGGCAAAACACCCCAATAAGAAAACGTACCAACAATTGGGCGCGATACATTTTTACCGTCAAAGCGCTACACGAAACACACTGGCCAAGAGTTAGAATTCTTTAAGGCTAGAATAACACGCAGCATGGGAGGGGCCCAAATTCTCTATTATGGGGTGGGGATTCCCCATCGTAAACAGGGATTTCCTCAGCACGTGTGCAGGAATTCCCTGAATCACTGAAAGAGAACAAGGTAGCCATTTATAGAGGTCAATTACATGCATGCAAAGAACATGGAACACGTCCTGGGGTTTTCCCACTTGCTAATTCTATGACTCCACAATATTTAAACATTTTCCGTTCGGCAGTCATTTATTGAAGAACATGCCTTTTAAGATTACTTACCAGTTTCAGACCGTAATTGTCTGAAAACATGTCAACTTTACGGAAAGGGGAGATTGATTTTACTGAACATAGTAAAATGAACATCAGCACAATTATTCAACATTTGGTATAAAATAGGTGCAAGCCTTGGAAAGAAGTTCATTTTTCAGGACAGAGGCATCATTTCCAGGGCTGCCCTTTGAGCATATTTACTCAGCAGTCATTCTGAATTAATTCAGCAGGGCTTACTCCATCATAATCATCTTTATCACCGCAGCCTTTATAGAACAAGAAGGAATATCACGATTTTTTTTTTAACTGGCAGTTTTGTGCATTCGGTGTCAGATCCCAGGGAAACAGGAGAAATGTGGTGAGCTTTTTTTTTACGTTTAGCTAAAAATACCAACATCTGGGAAGTCATGCCCCTTTTTCTCATTCCATCCTAAGAGCCAGACCCGTTTCTCTAAAAATGCGATTAATAAAACAAGCAATAGGGGTTGGGGTTTTTTTTGGGGTTTTGGTTTTGTTTTTTTTTACCTTTGGAACTCTTCGCTTCCTTCTCTGAGGCCTTTTGTTTTCAGTTAGCACCTAAAGAAAGACATCAAATGGCAAAAATAAACCCGGGTGAATTAAACCAGTCAAGTAAACAAAACCAGTTTTTTTTTTCTCCCCCTTTTTTTTTTTTCCCCCTTCACGGGCACACCACACCACGCAGGACTTCTCTCTCCCGCGACTTAAAACGGGGACCGAGCGAGTCAGCCGCACCACCGCGGGGAAAAGAGGGTTAACCCAGGAAAGAGGGTTTGGGGGGGGAGGGGAGGAAAAAAAAAAACAACAAATAAAACAAACCACCTTTCCCTCAGCTCAAAAGTCGGGCTGAGGAAGGCTCGGCATTCTTCACAGCGAAAGCCACAGGGTAGCCATCTTGCTTCCTTCTGCAGAAAAGCCCTGTGCGGAGTGTGCACTTCTTCAGCGCGCTTTGGCGAAATTATGCTCATGGTGCTGCTTCGCAGCCACAGCGGCGACGGCCGCTGCTCGGAGGAGCGCAGCAAAACCTGCCTGCCAACGCTAGGGACGTGCTAGGCATGCCTCGCGAATTATTATTACGCACACATACACACACACACACACACACACGAGAGCGCGCGCGCGCGCACATATACAGACCCACACACATACACATGCACACGGATGAGGAGGGTGGGGGGGGGTAGAAGAGAAAAAAAGGACCTCCAGAAAAGGCCGAGCCAATGACAAAAGCGAGGGAAAAAAAGCCAGCCGTCATCCAAAGCAAGCGCTCGCTCGGCTCTCCAAACAAAGGGGGCTCCCATTTAATGTTGGGCTTTGCGCGCAGCCACGGGAGGACGGGCAGGCGCAAGCAAAGACATGGACTCTTCCCCCCCCCGCCCCCCGTCCACCTCGCCCGCGGGGGTGGAGAGTGTGGGTGGGTGGGAAGCAAACGGGGCTCTCCGAAGCGAAGTGTTTTGGGTTTTTCCAGAATTGTGGCGAGGGACCAGAGAGGGAAGCCCCCGCCGTTTTGTTTTTTTTTTGGGGCTGCACCGGCGCGAGGCGAAAAGCGATGCTCCGGTGAGAGGCTCGCACTCGCCCCTTCCTTCCTCCTCCTCCTCCTCCTCCTCCCCCGGGCGCGTTTTGCCTTTATAAGGCGAGGGCTGCACCGCCGTCCTTGTTTCCGGCGGAGGGTGAGGCGAGGACAGCACCGGGGGTTGCTTCTGGCTGGCTGGCAGCACCGGGGCTTCGAGGTTAACGAAGAGCGCGTCGCCTGAAGGAGAGCAGGCGGCCGCCTCAGGAGGGGCTCAACAGGTTCCCAACGGGTCTCGGCTGGATTTCTCGGGGACACGTTTACCTGCAGCTACCTGGATACGGGTTGAATGGACGGGCTCTACTTTGCTAGGCTGCCTCTCTCTCTCTCTCTTTCTTTCTTTCCCCGAGAGGGAAGGAGGGAAGCACGCCCGCCTGGGGTTGGCGTAACCGGCGAGGCTGAAGTGCCGCGGGCTACTTTGTGACTCACTTGTGTTGTTGTCACACAGCCCAGCCTGGGAACGCGACCCAAGACGGCGTGGTCGGCGATTTTTTTTTTTTAATTTGATTTATATGCCGCCCTTCTCCGGAGACTCAGGGCGGCTTACAAGGCGTTAAGCAATAGCCTTCATACTTTTGTATATTTATACAAAGTCAGCTTATTGCCCCCACAAACTGGGTCCTCATTTCACCTACCTTTGAAAGGATGGAAGGCTGAGCCAACCTTGAGCCTTGGCGAGATTCGAACCTGCAGTAATTGCAGGCAGCTGGTCTTAATAACCAGCTTAATAACAGGGTGCCTTTAGACCACTGTCCTACCAAGGCTCTTTTAGGCAGCCTCGGGGAAGATCTCCAGAGATCCTCTTTGTTATTTACGTTGCTATGTTGAATGCTATATGCGGTACAATCTCATTTGCAACAATTCCCCCGCCTACGACAAACTCTTGCCAAGAGATTTTTTAAAAAAAGTGAGACTTGGAATAAAGACTTAAATACCGAACGTGGGATTTATTAGCCGAGCCCTAGAAAAGGGGTGAACGGGTTATCGGTTTAATTGACTTCCAAAATTTTTAGGATTTAAAAAACAAAATGTCCCATTAGATCCCCTTTTGCCATTGGGTTCCCCTTCAAAATAAGGCTGCTCTTTGCAATCCATTGCAACTGAATCTTATCACTCCCAAGGTCAGAAGGAGGCATTCGCATACAATCACAAATAGGCTATTTACATTTTAGCCTAACAGTGCTGGGCAGTCCAGACTAATCTGGTGGCTATATTTTGAATGTTTTGTGCAAACCAACTGCATAAATATTTATAGTCTATTATCTAAAGTGGCACTGATAAATAACTCATTTCAAGAATACATTCTGTAAGACAACTTCCATAAGTGCAGGTCCCCGAATCTGGTCTTTTCAAGCTCTGGTAAAGGTAAAGGTTCGCACATATGTGCTAGTCGTTCCCGACTCTAGGGGGTGGTGCTCATCTCCGTTTCAAAGCCAAAGAGCCAGCGCGAATAGAGCCTGGCTCTATTCATATAGCACACTAAACTATAATCTGTGGTTTATGATACTATGATTGGGTTCATATTAACCACTGCTTTAAATCACGGAAGACTGCCTAGTGTGAGATCCAAGCCTTAACAGTAGGGTAAATCAAGACCACAGCACACCCCTCAATTATGGTTTCCATCCCTGGTTTGTTGTAAATTATCTTACCTGAACAATGGCTCTACGCATTATGCAAACTTCAATGGGGAGGTAAACATATGATTAACCTCTCCTTTGGGATTCTAAATAAAGAAACTGAAAAAAGGAGTTGGCTGCAAAACAGGGCTGCTGTATTGTTCTTACCTCGTTTTTTTCAACTCTTCTACACTTGCAAGAGATAAAACTGGCATGACAGTTGGGGTGGGGAGGCGATTCAGCCTTCCAACTGCTTGTAGAGTAGCACTACCTTCAATAACTAAAAATCATGTATAACAATACATGATTTTTAATGGCCAATTCCCATCCTCCCAAAAACCCCACTGCACAATCATGGCAAAGATTGCTAGTTAATGGCTGACACTGAAGGTGACTCAAGAACCATGACTAAATTTATGGTTGTCATTCTGCTGGGGCAGTGCAACCAAAGGTAAAACCTGCCAAGTCTAACAGGTCAGATTAAGATACCCGGTATCAGGTCGAAAGTGCCAAAACAGATAGCTGATACATACTTCAAAATAATATTTTTTGTTTATAGCAGTAGCTACAAACCGAGAATCAAATACTAATATTTATTCAGAAAGAATAAGGATGCGTACTCTTGACCGCATATTGCAAGATGTACTGCAGGCTACTTCAGCTGACTGCTAGCTGCAGTTCAGCAGCTCAAATCTCACCGGCTCAAGGTTGACTCAGCCTTCCATTCTTCTGAGGTGGGTAAAATGAGGACCCAGATTGTTGGGGGCAATATGCTAACTCTGTAAACGGCTTAGAGAGGGCTGTAAAAGCACTATGAAGTGGTATATAAATCTAATTGCTATTGCTATTATTTTATTCTGGGGAGAATGGACTAGGAGACATTTTAAATTAGCCTGCAGAAGGCTTGGCAGTTTGTGACATTTGGTGAATTGTTTGAACATTTTTTTATAAAGTAAAAAGGCATTTCATAAATTATGCTCTTCCTGAACCAAAAGCAATTTGCATGTTGGCAAGAAGCATGTACATAGAAATATGAAACAAGTGCTAAGTACATTTTGCTGCAAATAAAAATACATATGTCTCTCTCACACACATCCACACATACGCGCACACACACTGGTTATTAGGCTCATTAGTCCCCAATTACCAAAGCGACTTAACAGTTTACAATAAAAACACAGAACTGTAGCTAAATACTGGCATATGAAAACCCTCTTTCAAATGTTTTAAAGTATTTTTTTTCATAAGGTAGTAAAGAACCAATAGAAGAGCTAGCATTCACAGACCTGGAAGGCTACAGAGCAGGCTCCTCAAATTATCTTAATAAAATGTTGCTGTGTGTATGTAAGGACTATATTAATTAAACTTTTGGAATCAAGATATTTCAAATGGGTTAATTTACAGAATCCATCCGAAATCCATGATCCATGATTCTTGTGGAATTGAAATTTGACACTTTATGAAACATTTTATGACATAAAAATTATCATCAAAACATTTTATACAAAAATGTTATGAGACATTTCCTGTGGTCAACTCCTGATGTTTGCTATATAGTTGAACATGGGCTATTTTCAAAGCAGATATCACTCTGAATATGTCCTTGAATTTAAAAAAAACTTTTCCAGTGAAGAACACACACTGGATGCATTGTTGAAGACATTGAGGAATCTGGTAAGGAAATAACTTTGAAATAATGACCTGATGAGTCACAGGTTGTCTAGTATTATCTAAATTCAATCTCACTTTACAAAATTATCCTGCAGACAGACATTCAAGAGAGGCCCAGACTTAACTAACATTGAATTTATCATCACCCAGCTTCAGATCTTTTAATGATTTCCCAATTTTATGTAAGCACTATAAGCTCCTGGAGACAGAGTCGAGCCTTCAGGGATACCATTTTGAAGAACTGTCTCAAAATGACATCATTGGAAGTCTACCTTAAATTTCAAAACAGCACCTCCTATTCCCAAATCTCTCTGATGATCCACAAAGAATCTAGTATTGCTGGCATCAAAAATTGCTGATTCAGATTTACAACCTGAAATGTTGTAAATTGCTTGGCTGTTTTAGGATTTATGCCCCATCGTTTAAAAAAAAAAAGCTTTTGTAAAAAAAAAAGAAAAAAAGGCATAATATAGCATTTATTTATTCGTTTATTTTTGCTGTGACAAAATTGAAAATTTATGCAATCCAATCTTATGCATACTTTCTTAAATCATCAGGCCTTTCTTTAACAGAATTTGTTTTCAACCGTGGAAAGGATTACAGCTTTTAAGGGGGAAAGTCAATACTATTGATGGAATTTCATCTGACAGTGAACAAAAGCAGGATGATTATCTCCAAAGCCTTCAAATGCAGTTGGA